TTGCGCCACTCATCCCAGTCCATGCTCCACTTGCTGGTGCTTTGCAGCCCTGCATCTGCCCAAGAAGACACAGATGGACCAAGGGGCTCAACAGCACCTGACACATTACCCTTGTCAGTTTTAACATCACATTGCATTACCACAGTTTCACCACCGTGCACTGACGTTGTCTATAATAAAGGCCCAGCACGTCAAAATCAGATTATCTTCCAGGCAGCATCCAGGTCACCTCACTACAGACAGCAAAACTGCCATCAACAGCCTCTCTGACCAGCTGCCTAATAAACAGACCTGAAGGGGAAGTATTGGCCCTCTACAATTAACCTCCACCTATACCTGCGCTAGGCTGACTCTCTACAAGGTGCTCTACCTCCCTTTCCTACCTAGGATATCACATTCTAACAGATTTCCAATAACTGTATAATATTAATTCCTGTTTAAAACTATTTTCTATTCTCTCAGCCTGGAGATCTTTAAAGTATAGCTAAAAGCAAAACTTTTTTTTTAGTTTTGAATACAGTGGAGAAGGATTAGAACATCTGCCATGTGTTCAATCACAGCCAGTGAACCAATGAGGGGAGAGAGAGGACAGGGCCGAGCCACTGCTCTGTGTGTGAATGGCAAGCTTCTTGCTCTGAGGGCATTCGGCAGGAGGGAGGTTCCAGGAGCAACAGCGAGGGACCCGAGAAGATGAGGATCAGGGCTACATTCTGCAAAACCACTGCACAGAACAGGTAATGGCTTTTTAGGATATATTGTATATGTACAGTTATGAGATGAAATAGGCAACACTATGTACAGTATGTAACACTAGATATTTTTGTTTGTTTTAATGTTGTTATAAGAAAATTTTGTTTTTTATTACATATATGTAACTGACTACATATATGTAACTGACATATATGAGACTGACTGGGAGCATGGGATAAGGGAAACTGGAGAGGAGGAGCTAGTGATGTGACTGAGTAGTTCCCCCATCCTTGTGATACATGGCACTGTACATGGGCACGGCTCAGTCTATGCATACACACGGCACATGTTCTGGGAAAACCATGTACTGTAGCACCCTTCCATTTCCTCAGTTGAAGACTCCAGCTGGGTTGTCTATGCCTCAGTGAGGATGGCAGAGCCGGCTGTGTGCCCAGACAGAATCTGCAGGAAACAGCTGATGAGTAAGGAGCCGGGAGAGGGGGGGTGGCTATCTCTCCTCTTTTTCTCACCAACCCTTTCCTCCCTGTCTTCCACAACATTCTCTCTCTCCCTCTCTCTCTCTCTCACCCCCCTTGGCCCCTCTATTTTACTCCCTCTCTCTCTCACCCCCCCCTCTCTCTCTCACTTTTCTGTCTTTCACCACCTCTCTCTTTCGCCCCCTCTCTGTCACCTATCCCTTTCTCACCTCCCCTTTTCTCTTCCCTGCCTCTCATCGTACGCTCTCTCTCCCTTCTTTCTCTCTTACCCAGCTTTCTTGCTCTCACTCCCCTCTCTCTCATCCACCCTCACACGTTCTCACCCCGCCCCCCTCTCTTCGTCTCTCTCTCACTCCCCTCTCTTTCCCCTTCGTTCTTCCCCCCTCTCTCTCTCTAACCCCCCCTCTCACCCCTCCTTTTCCCCCTCTGCCCCCCTCTCTCTCCTTCCCTCTCTCTCTCCCCCCCCCCCTCCCATCCCTCTCACCCCTTCTCTCCCTCTCTCTCACCCCCCCCTCTCTCGCCCACCCTTTCTCACCTCCCCCCCCCCCCCTTTCCCCATCTCTCTCCTACTTTCTCATCTCTGCCATCTTGCTCTCTCCATTCTATTCCTATCTCTCCTCATCCCCCCCTCCTTCTTCTCCCTCTCCCCCTTATGTCTCTATACCTCCACCCCCTCTCCTCCTCTTAGTTTCTAAAGTAGTTTCTGTCATATTTCAGGTTCTCAGTAAAAAAGCATTTTGTCAGTAGACTTTCCATGTCTCCACATTGTAAAAAAAAAGTTGTGCGGGGTTGGCAACCCTGTCAGGAAGGGGCAGAGTGGGAGGCTAATGGCTGATAAAGGCAATTTATTTCTCAGTCATTGGGCATCTTTACTGTATTATGTAACCAGCAGGCACTACCTATAGCCCCCGACAACTACACCCAATTTTTGCCGAGGCTTGCTGAGCGTGCCTCACTTCTTTTTCTGGTGTGAAGGTCCAAATTATGATCTTGTAAAACTGCTTTCATAAAATGCCCCTGGTTGCGCCATAAAGATGTCTACCATGCCATTCCATGTTGGTTCCTGGAAGCATGGTTGGGAAGCCATCAGGCACCTGACAAGTTCTCAGATGGCTACCACCTTTGAAACTGTCAGGCGTTTGGTGGCTCCCACCTAAACTTCAGACAAGACTTGGGCACTGGCCCATTCTTGAACACTAGGGCCCAACAGCTTCCGCAGTTTGAAGAGGATGGCTGATACAAACGCATGTAATGTGGGCAGTTCATTATGTAGTGGGGCTTGTGAGGGTACACAGGAGAGATCTCCTATTGCTCGGGGGCCCCATGAGTTGTCAGTCCACCCGTGGTTGGTGATGGTTCGCAAGTCACACTTATATGCTTAGGATTCCAAATCTGTCACAACAGCAAGCCCTTAGATATTTACAGTCAAATAAGAACATTGTAATTAAAACCATAAATCAACACAAATTTATAGTTGGGTTGGACAATAAACAATATGAGGCAATGTGTCTGTCACTCATATGCCTTTTAGTAGAGTAATTAAATTTCAACAGGAATTTACTAGCATCCTCTTGGAGGTGTGTAATACTATATTAATTGATAAAGACATGTTAGATTACATACCATTCTCATCTGTCTACTTTTTATTCACTTTAAAAATGCTAAAAAAAACCTACTTGGACGCCCTGTAGTTTCTGGAATCGGCTAACAAACGGAACCGGACAGCTACTTTGCTGATTTTTATTTATTTCCACACGTTACTATGCTTCTTTCATTCATTAGGAACCCTGTAGACTTTTACATTTTAGATCATCACTACTACATTTTAGGTCATCACTATCCCCCAAATGTCCTACTTGTAGCTAATAACATAAAGGCTCTATATTCAAGTATCCCTCATGATGAGGGGATCCAACTGGTTGGCCGGTTCCTACAGGTGCAGGAACAGTCACCTTGGGCCCCTAAATCTTTTTATCCTCATATACTTACAAGAAATGTTTTTAAATATATATGTCCCTTGGAGAGAGCTCATCATTGATTGTGGTAAAGAGCTGTGGTTCTTTACTGTGTGACAAGCTGCATTGCACACAGCCTGTCACAAATGTAGACACAGAGTGGTAACTCACTGTTACCAGCTTCCTCTCCTCACACACAGATCTTGTGTGAGGAGAGGAATCTTCTAACAGTGAGTTACAGTTTTTACAGTGCATACACACCTTACAGCCCCTGTCACAGAGTTTGTGACGGAGGGTAGACAGGACAGAACACACAAGGTGGATAGCAAACAGACAAAGCTTTATTGAGGCAAAATGACAGCCACTCAATAGGGGGAATTGCAAGGAGGGCGCCCTCGCCACTAGGGGAATAGTAAAGAAAGGGCAAAACACTTGTAGTCCAGCCCCAGGGGCCAATTTAAAGTCTCTGCAGTAGTTATACTCCCACAGGGAGGTAGAGGAGCAATTCAGGGACAATTCAGGCAAAACAGGGGGAGTAGGTACTCACGGATCCAACAGGGTGCCCAGTCTCCCAAGGGACAAGATAGTGTGACACAGGTACCTGCTGGAATCTGGAGTATGCGTGGGGTCTCTCCCTTGGACTGGGGTCTCAGGCAGGACTGACATGCGGTCTCCCCTTCTTAGGCTGGAGGTCTCAGGCTGGCGTGTGCAATCTCCCCTCTTTGGCTGAGGTTCTCAGGCTGGTGTGTGCAATCTCCCCTCTTTGGCTGGGGGTCTCAGGCTGGAGTGTGCAATCTCCCCCCTTCGGCTGGAGGTCTCAGGCTGGTGTGTGCGATCTCCCACTTTGGGCTGGGGGTCTCAGGCTGGCATGTGCAATCTCCCCCTTTTGACTGGGGGTCTCAGGCTGGCGTGTGCGATCTCCCCCTCAGGCTGGGGGGTCTCAAGCTGGCGTATGCGATCTCCCCTCTTTGGCTGGGGGGTCTCAGGCTGACGTATGCGATCTCCCCCTCTGGCTGGGGGTCTTTGGCAGAGTCTGGTCATGAGGGTCCCGCCGCAGCTGGGCTCCCTCCGTGACTGCACAGCGGAATGGACGACTGGAGAGCCTGGCATTAGCCTTCTTAAGCTGATGCAGGACGCTCTCCGGTCATCCTGGCAACTGTGGGCGGGCCAGCGGGCCTCGTCGCCCGGTAACGAGGCACGCCCCCGGACACGGGCCACGTTTCTCCTGAGTGCGACCTTTGTCCAGGGACATCAGCAAGCGCGGGAACTCTCCGTGCCCGCGCTGCGGATGACAGGACCGGGTGGCGTCAGTCTGACGCCCTGGCCCGGAACATCCCCGCAGGAGGTTCGCACCTCTCCACGGAGAGGTGTGAATCTCGCTATCTCTGGTGGCAGGGGCGACAATGGAGGAGACACTAAACTGCATTCTGGGGACATAAAGCAGGATGCCAGGAAAGGAGATACATTAATTGAATTTGGGCTACAAAGCAGGATGACAGTGGGGGGAACAAATTTAATTGAATTTGGGCTGCAAAGCAGGATGACGGTGGGGGGAACACATTTAATTGAATTTTGGGAACATTTGGCAGGGTGAGGGTGGAGGGGATGCATTGATTAGAGCTGGAAGCATTTGACACAAGAGAGTGGGACATTAACCACTTGCCTACCAGGTACTTATACACCCTTCTTTACCAAGCCAATTTTCAGCTTTCAGTGCTGTCGCACTTTGATTGACAATTGTGCGGTCATGCAAGATTGTACCCATATGAATTTTTTATCATTTTTCCCACAAATAGAGCTTTCTTTTGGTGGTATATAATCGCTGCTGGGCACTTTACTTCTTGCTCTATGAACAAAAAAAATTTGAAAAAAAAAATTTGTCTTTGTTTCTATTATAAAATTTTTCAAACAGGTAATTTTTCTCCTTCACTGATGTGCGTTGATGAGGCAGCACTGATGGGCACTGATAGGCGGCACTGATGGGCACTGATAGGCGGCACTGATAGGCAGCACTAATGAGGTGGCACGGATAGGAGGCACTGATAGGCAGCACTAATGAGGTGTCACGGATAGGTGGCACTGATAGGCAGCACTGATAGGCGGCACTGATGATGGGTACTGATAGACAGCACTGATAGGTGCCACTAACTGGCATCACTGCTGGGCACTGACTGACGGCCCTGCTAGGCATTGACTGGTGCAACTGATGGGCACTGACTGGCACAACTGCTGGGCACTGACTGATGGCACTGACTGGCACAGGTAGGTGGCGCTGCTGGGCACAGGTAGGTGGCACTTCTAGGCACAGGTAGGTGGCACTGCTGGGCACAGGTGGGTGCACTGCTGGGTGGCACTGCTGGGCACTGGTGGGTGGAACTGCTGGGCACAGGTGGGCGGAACTGGTGGGTGGCACTGCTGGGCACCGATCATCAGGGCACTGATCATCAGTGCCCTGATGATCGGTGCCGATCCCTGCTCTGACAAATGCCGCTTCTCGGCAGTACTTTCCTTGCACTCTGACAGCGTGAGGAAAGTGCAGCCGAGAATCGGCAATTGCATTTCCCAGTGATCAGCGTGTCATTGGACACGGATGATCATGTGGTAAAAGGCTGCTGTGATTGGCCTTTTACCACATCACGTGATCAGCTGTGTGTCTGTAGGACACAGCGATCACGGAGATCGCCAGGTGCGCACCCCGGGGGCACGCAGGAGAGCACGTTCTGGGAGGACGTCATGTGACGCCCTCCCAGAACTAGCTGGCCGCAGTGTAGCCGTCATTCGGCTATCTGCGGTTGGCAAGAAGTTAATTGAGGATGTGCTTCTTCTTGGCACAAGGGATTAATGAGGGAATTAATAATTGGGGCTGGCAGAGCACCTATATTGTGACAGTGTCCATTGTCAATGCCTGAGGTAGTGAGCTCTATTGATCCTCAACTTGGGGTTCCCCAAGGCACAGAGTCTAAGCCTGCTTGTTTACCAGAGCCCCTGATGGTGGGGATGGACTTGCAGCAAGCTGGGACCAGGTCGTGGCCCCCAGGTACACCCAGCTGAGGTGGAGAAGACCGCTCCCGGGAGCAGAGTATAACGGGAGAAGACAGACGGAATCCAATAGGTAAGCCAAAGTCAGGACAGGCAGAAAACAAGCAAGGTCAGGGGACAAAGCCGGGGTCGGTACACAAGTAGACAACATAGGAATCAAACAGCAGAAACACACAGGAGCTCCAACAACTAAAAAGTTGCTCAAGCAAATTGGGCTAGACTGAGTATGTCTTATAGCAAACTAGGAGGCGGGCCAGGAAGTGATGGAAGGGAAGGAAATAAAAGCCAGAGGGTTGCTGACAATGCCCATAGATGAGCACAGACAAACCACACATGTGAAGGAATCAGGAGCAGCAAGAAGGTAAGAATAACAAACAAGAGGGTGCAGGCTAACTTGTGACAGTACCCCCCTCTTACAAGGTCTCCCCACTTTTTTAGGGCTAGGCTTAAGGGGAAACTTCTGATGAAAAAATTCCACCAGACAGGGTGCAGAAACATCAGTAGAAGGAATCCAACACCTCTCCTCAGGACCATATCCCTTCCAGTCAATTAGATACAAGAGCTTCCCTCTGATAAATTTAGAATCCAAGATTTGCTTGACTTCATACTGATCCGAAGTACTCACTATTGGGAAAGTGTGTATGGGGGCAGTATAGGGGACAGAAGGCACAGTAGATACTAATGTGGAAACCACGGCTGGGTCCAAAGCAGCTGAAGGGAGATTTGGGGTCTCAGCAGGCAGCGCACATGAATCTGGGAACTCAATGGTACAGAGGTCACAGATGTTGGGACCTCCACCCATCCAAAGGTAGCGACAAAGGAGCTCTGAGCTGCACAGTATGTAAAGGGACCGATGATTTGGACAGAAAAGAGGGTAAGGAACTAGAGGTGGACAGCACCGGAAGGGAGCCTGCATTAAGAGTAAGCAGGGGAGCAGCTTTACTACAAGAAACATCTTGTAAGGTCTAGCAATGTTGAGGGAGCAACGGAGAGGTGCTGGCCGCAGCCACGGGTACAGTGCGAGGTGGGAGCACCTTAGGGAGACACGTCTGATTGCATTTTGACCCCAAGACAATACTTGGCCAGAGTTCCAGTCAAGATTAGGTGAGTGTTTCTTCAACCACGGAAGTCCATGAATGATGGGGCTAGAAGACTTAGGGAGGATCAGGAAGGAGCTTTCCTCACAATGAAGAGCGCCAACATGCATAGTTATGGAGGTGGTTCGGAAGCGTAGACGTCCTAAGGCCAAGGTAGAGCCATCAACTGTAGATACTGATTGGGGTGTCTTCAAAGGGACAAGAGGAATGCCCAATTCAGTGGCAAAAGATTGCTCGATAAAGTTCCCGGCTGCCCCAGAGTCCACATAAGCAGAAACCTGGTACGAGTTCAGGGCCCAATGAATGGAGACAGGTATGATAAATCGAGGGAAGGTGGCAGAATTCAGGTTCTGGTCTAGATCACCTCCCTCAGAGTGACCTAGACCCGAGTTTCTTGGGCGGAGAGAACATGACTTAATTCGATGACCTTCAGCCCCACAGTAAAAGCATAGACCAAATCTTAAGCGACGCGATCGCTCTTGTGGAGTAAGGTGTGTTCAGCCTAACTACATAGGCTCTTCCGATGTTGGTACAGTTGCAGAGGTAAGTTGATCAGGGACTTTCTGGAAAACAGGAGCAAATGAACCCACTGGGGGGTGACGTGGACGAGCCCTTTTCAGATCTTGCTCCTGGAAGCGGATATCGATTTGGATGCTAAGAGCAATCAAGTCATCCAGGGTGGTGGGTATGGTTCTTCCAGCTAGTTCGTCTTAATACGGTCTGCTAGACCCTGCCAAAAGGTTGCAGAGAGGGCCTCATTATTCCATGCCAGTTCTGAAGCTAAGGTTCGAAACTGAACTGCATATTGTCCACAGTCCTGCTACCTTGACGAAGCCGAAGAAAAGCTCCTGCAGCAGATGAAGTTCTGGGCACATCGAAGGTTTTACAGAAAGCTTGCAGGAAGGCTGGGAGGCTGCAAATAGTTGGATCTTGACGCTCCCACAGTGGTGAGGTCCAAGCCAGTGCTTCACAAGAAAGGAGGGAAATCATGTACGCCACCTTGGAACAGTCAGTAGAAAAATGGTGGGTTGCTAGCTCGAAGTGAATTGAGCACTGCTTGACGAAGCCCGACAAGCTTTGGGATCACCAGTGAAGTGAGTCAGTGGAGGCAGCTGGAGTCTCGAAGGACAGTGTTCCACTGGGTAAACAGCGGAAAGTGGAGCTGCAGGAACCGGAGCAGGGGCAGAAACAGAGGGTGAGGAAGTGGACACAACCTGTAGCTGATTCAACCGGGAGGAGAGTTCCTGCAGACAGTGCATGATTTGTTCTTGATAGGCCTGCTGGACATCGACTCTCTGCGCCAAATCCTGAAGTTGTTCCAGGAGAGGCTGCGGTGTCTCCGAGGAGCTCATGGCCTAAGCAAACTGTCAATGCCTGAGGTAGTGAGCTCTATTGATCCTCAACTTGGTTTTCCCCAGGGCGCGGAGTCTAAGCCCCAGCCTGCTTGTTCACCAGATCCCCTGATGGTGGGGATGGACTTGTAGCAAGCTGGGACCGGGTTGCGACACCCAGGTACACCCAGCTGAAGTGGAGAAGACTGCTCCCGGGAGCAGAGTATCATGGGAGAAGACAGACGGAATCCAATAAGCAAGCCGAGGTCAGGACAGACGGAAAACAAGCAAGGTCAGGGTACAAAGCCAGGGTCGGTACACAAGTAGACAACATAGGAATCAAACAGCAGAAACACACAGGAGCTCCAACAACTAAGAAGTTGCTCAGGCAAAGTGGACTAGACTGAGCATGTCTTATATAGACTAGCAAACTAGGAGGCGGGCCAGGAAGTGATGAAAGGGAAGGAAATAAATGCCAAAGGGTTGCTAACGACGTCCATACATGAGCACAGACAAACCACACATGTGAAGGAATCAGGAGCAGCAAGGAGGTAAGAATAACAAACAAGAGGCTGCAAGCTAACTTGTGACACCCATCAATGTTGCCCATCAGTGTTCCTGTTGCCCATCAGTGTACCTGTTTCGCCCATCAGTGCCGATCAGCAGCTGTAGCCCATCAGTGTACCCATCGCCCATAAGTGCACCCGCAGACCATCAGTGCCCACCAGTGTACCTGTCACCCATCAGTGTACCTGTCACCCATCAGTGCCCATCAGCAGTGCACCTGTGCCCATCAGTACCAATCAGCAGTGCACCTGTCGCCCATCAGTACCAATCAGCAGTGCACCTGTCGCACATCGTCCATCAGTGCCACCATCAGCAGAGTACTGTCACACAGCCACCATCACCAGAATACCCGTCCTAAAGCCAACATCAGCAGTATACCTGTCCCAGTGCCACCAGAGCCAGCTATGTCAAAACAAGTTTACACAAGGAGGAGGCATTCAAAATCCTCAGTAAGACGAATGAGAGTAGCGAGGAGCTCTCACTGTCCGATTATAATTCAGTGCAGGGGCGGACTGACCATTTGGAAACTCTGCCCGAGGGCCCGGGGTCAGTAGGGGGCCCCATGAGGTGCCCCTGGTACCTTTTTCATAGGCTTTTTTGAGTTTGGGCAAGGACACAGGGGCCCCATGATCCCCTATTACCCAGGGGCCCCATGAGTTGTCAGTCCGCCCCTGATTCAGTGTATGAGCCCATAGAAAGCAAAAGATCAGCAACTGAATCAGAGAAGGAAAGGGTCCTTCCTAAAAGGACACTGCACTTTGATAACGAGTCAGCCACCAGCAGCACCATACACCGCAGTGGTCAATCTGCAAACACCAATGGAGCTAGACCCATAGATGAATGACCCAGTACCAGCACTGGGATATTCCATCAACCCCCAAGAATCAGGGCCCAAACATAGCTCCCAGATACTCTTGCCAAGCCATTATGGCTGCCCTCCAACTCTGGATCAGCAAGCATTCCCCCTTTCACCGCACTGCCAGGTGTGCAGGCCACACTGAATTTTTCAGATATTGATTTTTTTCATTTATTTTTGCCCAACACTTTACTGCAGTTTATTTTGGACCAGACAAATCTTTTTGCCCAACAGTTCATTTCTAACAACCCCACTTCATCCTGTGCCTTTCCATTTGAATGGAGACCTCTTACATTCGAAGAATTTAGGTTATTTTTGGGCCTCACCTTAACATGGGGTTTGCAAAAAAAAAATTAAGGACATGCATACTGGTCCACACACCCAATCCATCACATGCCAGTTTTTATTCTGCTGTAATACCCAGGTCACACTATGAGATGATCATATGTATCCTTCATTTTAGTGACAATACCCAGTGCCCTCCCAGAGATCATCCCAACCATGACAAATTATACAAAATTCACCCACTTCTTAATTTTTTTCCCCAAAGATGTGCTGGACTTCTTGTCCCCGATAAAAATGTATGTGTACAAGAATTCCTTGTCCAGTTCACTGGACGGCTAGGAATTGAGCAATATATTCCAAGTAAGAGGGCGAGATATGGAGTAAAGCTCCACAAGCTTTGTGAAAGAGCCACGAGATATTTGTATGCGTTCCATGTATATGAAGGCAAAGATTCCCAGCTCCAGCCCCCTGAGTGCCCAAACTACATTGGAACAAGTGGAAAAATTGTCTGGGACCGGGTTTATCCACTTTTCCAAAAAGGCTATCACATTTATATGGATAATGTCTATACCAGTCTGCCCTTTTTCCAAAACCTGTACTGTGGCCTGCGGTACCTCCTGAAAAAACAGGAAGGGCTTCCCACAATCTTTTGTGAACAGAAGAATAAGAAAGATGTTTATGTCCTGTCCACCATCCACAACAACACCTCGGTGGAAATTACTGGAAGACACAGTCCAATTCAAAAGCCTGTGGCCATCCAAGATTATAATCTCTACATGGGGGGGGTTCAATGATCAGATGTTGCAGCCCTATTTAGCAACAAGAAGTTTCAGGTTCTGGTATAAAAAAGTTGCAATCTATTTTATTCATTTGGCTATTTATAATGCGTATGTCACCTACACCAAATCCACAGAAAGACCCACTGCCTTCCTCAAATTTATAGAAGAAGTTTTTCACGTCCCTTATCTATCAGCAAGGATCCCCCCAGAAAGCATTTGTTTCGATTCTCTGAGCAGACTTCATGAGCGCCACTTCCCTGAGATCATTCCACCAACAGAACCAAGTCGAAGACGCCAAAAAGATGTTGGGTATGCAGCAGAGGAGGAGTTAGAAGAGACACAAGTTTTCACTATCCCCAGTGTCCCTCTCAACCAGGCATGTGCATTGGAGACTGCTTCCGACGTTTTCACACGTTACTAAAATATTAGCCCATATTTCAAACTGCCTGCCATTTCCCCCGTTTCAGTATCTCTGCAGATCATTTGCCTGCTGCTTCAACCAACCATGCCACTGCCTTCTACCTTAGCCGATCCCAGCCTGTTTATCGACTATGCCTTTGCCTGCCAGTTCCAATGTTTTTCCACCACGTTTCTGCCTGCCACCTGAACTGACCCTTGCCTGTTTATCGACTATGCTTCTGCCTGCCGTCTGGATTATCAACCACGTTTATGCTTTCTTCCTGGACTGACCTCAGCCTGTTAATTGACCATGTTTTTTGCCTGCCGCTTGGATTGATATTTTGCCCTGCTTCTGTAGTAGTAGGATAACACAGGGGTCTCACATATGTGAGGGGCTTCAGAGTAGAGTTCTGAGTAGAGAAAAACAGTTTTTGTTTTTTTCCGTGACAGGAAATTTCTGGAACAGGGTCTGTTTGTCTGGAGGCTTCAAAGAGATTGCGTGGAACAAAGCCTCTATCCCATTACCCTGGTTCTACCTGACCGAGGCCATAAGCCTGATGTTCCTACCTGCTGCCTGGACCAATGCTTTGGCTGTGCTGACCATATCTCTGCCTACTGCCTCTACTGACCCCGGAACTTTTATGGGCCATGTTCCTGCTTGCTGCTTGGATAAAATCTTTGGCTGTGCTGACCATATCTCTTCCTGCTGCCTGCAATAACCCAGGACAATTTATGGACCATGTTCCTGTCTGCTGCCTGGAGAAATACTTTGACTGTGCTGACCATATCTCTGCCTGCTCCCTGTAATGACCCAGGACATTTTATGGACCATGTTCCTGCCTGCTGCCTTAACCATACTTTGGCTGTGCTGACCATATATCTGCCTGCTGCCTGTACTGACCCAGGATTTTTTATGGACCTTGTTCCTGCCTGCTGCCTGGATGTCAGCCTGGAGCCTGTACTGACCTGGACCAATGCTCTCTTCATACCACAGGTAATCTTTTGTTTACATTGTTTTCTATACAGTGTTTGATGATTTGTGTGTTACACTTGTTGCAATGCTGGGCACATAATCTGTACAGACATTGAAAAGATCTTACACATGTAGTATCCCCATAATCAGGAGGAGTAGCAGAATGTATTTTGGGGTGTAATTCTTGGTAAGTCCATACAGCTTTTTTTTTAGAAATATCTTATAGATTGACAACTATTTGTTGAAAAAATAAATTTTCATTTTCTTTCCACATTCTCCAAAAACGTTTGGAAAAATAAATGAAACGTTCAAAAGACTTATTATGCCTCTTAGAAAATACATTGTGGTGTTTTCTTTCCAAAATGGGGTCATTTTGTGGGTGTTTCCACTTTCCTGTTGCTCCAGGGACTTCAAAAACGTGATAGATTGTCAGTAAATTAGATATATAATTTTTGAACTTAGAACGCCTAAAGGGGCTACTTGGATGTTGGGGCTCTCTATGTGACCAGGCTGTGGAAAAGTCTCACATATGTCTCACACATGTCTCACACATGTGGTATCCCCATACTCAGGAGGAGTAGCAGAATGTATTTTGTAATTTTTGGTATGTACGTGCTATGTGTTGGAAATAACTTATAAATGGACAACATTTGTAAAAAAAAATACGTTTTCATTTTCTTTCTACATTTTCCGTAAACTTGTGGAAAAAATGACATGTTCAAAAGACTCATTATGCCTCACAAAACATACGATGAAGTGTTTGCTTCTCAAAATTGGGTCATTTTATGGGTAATTCCATTGTCCTAATTCTCCAGGGCCTTCAAAAGTGTAATAGGTAGTCAGGAAATTAAATGTGTAATTTATACCCCTAGGTCACCTGATGGTGCTCCTTGCATTTGTAAGCTCCTTCTTGTATTGAACTGTATTGTTGCTGTATTGTCTCCCATTATAATGTACAGCGCTGAGCAAACTGTTGGCGCTTCATAAATCCTGTATAATAATAATAATAATTTTGGGCCTCTCCATGTGGCTAGGCTGTGAAAAAGTCTTACACATGTGGTATTATTATTATTAGAAGTCCTGGAGGCGGGCGTGGGAGGCGGAGACCAGGGAACTAGAGAGAAGGAGGTCTTGTGAGGAGCGGAGTGTGCATGCTGGGCGGTACTTGGATATTAGGCCAGTGATGTAGTTCGGGGCAGTATGGTGGACAGCTTTGTACGTCAGTGTTTGGATTTTGAATTTGATCCATTGCACAATCGGAAGCCAGTGGAGGGATTGGCAGAGGGGGGTGGCGGAAATGGAGCAGTTGGAAAGGTGAATGAGTCTGGCAGCCGTATTCAGGATCGACTGAAGCGGGCATAGCCAGCGGCGAGGCAAACCAGTGAAAGAGGGAGTTGCAGTAGTCCAGTCGTGATATGATGAGGGAGTGGATGAGCTGTTTAGTGGTTTCTGGGGTTAGGAACGTGCGTATTTTGTCGATGTTGCGGAGGTGGAGTCTGCATGAGTTAGTTAAAGATTGGACTTGGGGCTGGAAGGATAGGTTGGAGTCCAGAATGACACCAAGTACTCTGGCCTGCGGGGCGGGGTTGATGGTGGCGTTGTTGGACATGACGAAGAAGTCAATGGGGGGTAGTGTCCGGGCTGGGGGGAAGAAAAGAAACTCGGTTTTGGAGAGGTTCAGTTTAAGGAAGTGGAGCGACATACAGTCTGATATGTCGCTCAGTAGGTGTGTG